TTCCACCACGACTCAGTAGTCTCAAGTATGGAGTAAGAGAGATCCCACCATTCCGGGCATCTGCCCTACCGGCTGCTTCAGTCCATGAGGCCATGGATTGCTCCAACCCCCAAGAAGAAAACGGTTTTGGACCCAAGCCCAAGGGGACCAGCCCATGTGTTGACACTGCCTCTGAGGAGATGGAGGTGGAAGAAAGGCCACAAATGGCTCCTGTCCTCTTCTCCATCTCTGGAATAAACTTCCAAACCCAGGGAGAGCAGGATGGGTGAGGTGGGGGGAGGACTAGTCCCTACCTCACCTTAGGGATGGACCTTTACCTGAAACTGCTGGATCCCCTTGGTGCACAGCCAGGCTCTTCTCTGGAGCCCCAGGCAGGCTGAGAAAAGTCTGGCTTAAAAATTGGGCTTTTAGTGCCCAATGTAGTTAGGGCCAACCTAATTCTAAGCCTCTGAAATCCAGCAAGGAGCTCTGGCTCCCACTGACAGTCACGTCCTAGATAGGACCAAAGGACTCTAGTTCCAGGCTGAGCTGGCAGGCAGCTATGCAGCTATTACCCAGTTCCTTTTCCACCCTAGGTCTCTTGTGCCCATTCTGGGGCATATACGCTGCAGGATGGACACTAGGAGGCTGTAAAGGGCATGGCTGTTTCTCAGACCTGAAGACTGGGATGCTTCTTGCCAGTATGTCTAAGACTTGAATAATTGCTGTTTGCACGTACTGTATGGTCAGACCACATCACTACATCTCTATGCAAGGGGGGACGATGCAATGTGGTGGTCAAGGATATTTTAGCTAACCTATTCAAGACTTTTCCAGTTGATTAATCTATTTTCATATTTATAAAGGAGTCTTAATGTTTTGCCTCAAGACTTTCAACCTTGGTGTTGGGAGTGGGGCTGATTTGTAGGCCCCAGGGCCTGCTCTATGTATGTGTCAACAGGGGATACAAACAGAGGTTAATGTATTATACTTGGACTGATTTCCTCCCTGCTATAGCTGAAGCTTTGGGAACAGTCTGTCTTTACAGAGCCGCAATAAGAAATAACCAAAGAATGAAGTTGGTTAAATATTTTCATAATTCATTTCTGTTTTTTTTTTTTTTGTAAAACTTTTCCCAAGACACTTTCAGATTAAAAAATAAAGTTGATGTTCCAGGGGCTAGTTAGTCTTATTTTGTACCCCAGGGTCAGGCCTCTGTACAAAAGAAAACAGTGAAGCGCTTATTGTCTCTGCCAGGACCTGCACAACAACTCCGTAGTACTTAAACGCAACATACACAGGCTAACAACTCAAATAACTTTTTCCTTTTTTGAAACAGGGTTTTTCCATACAGCTCTGGCTGATTTGAGTAGGCCATGAACTGTAGCAGTCTTCCTGCCTCAGCCTTCAGGGTACTGGGATGCAGACATGAGCCACTACACAGAGCCAAACATCTCTTTCCTACTCTTAGCGTCTCTCCCTAGGTCTAGTGCCAGGCAGATGTTTGAGTCAGCTGCTGCCCCAAGCCAGCTTCATTTTCTGGTTGTGGGCTTTGGAAGAACGAGAAAACTGGCTCTTAGCCACTGTGAGTGGTACAGTTTTGCCGCTTAGATATACCTTATTGTGACATTCAGGAAGCCAAGGTCCAGAACTGCAGAGTTGAGGTCCGTGCCTCAGTCCCACATAGGCCATCACATAGCCTGTCATAAAGGCATCAAAACCAGCCCGATGCAATCCATCCCCAGGCACAGGATTAGGACTGGCTTGACTCACTGGCAGTTCTGAGGCAGCCACATCAGCTATTTCAGAACTTGTTGCCTTATGCTCCACCTCTAAGTCACTGTTGTGATCTTGCTTGGAGCCAAGCTGATCCCTAGATTCACCCTCTGTCACTTTTTGTTCAATTTCTGTCTTGAGGCTATCTTCACAGACCTGCTTTATGGGAGGACCATCTTCAGCTTGATCCCTAGATTCACCCTCTGTCACTTTTTGCTCAACTTCTGTCTTGAGGCTATCATCACAGACCTGCTTTATGGGAGGACCATCTTCAGCTTCCTCAAAGGTCTCTGTCCCTGGCTGGCTCAGCAAAGCCCTTTTCCGTCTGTCCTTACGTCGCCGCCGTCGCCGTTTGTCCTCTGCCACAGCCTCATCAGTGTCAATGATAAGGTCAATATCATGTGACTGAGGACACTGAGGTCCTAGAGGGCACCAGCCATAGGCCTAGGGGTTGGAAAGAGGCTTAGAAGGGGTTCCATACGTCAGAACCTCCCTTCCCCAAGAAACAGATGAATGTTCTCACCGAGAACTTGGTGCAGATGCCGGTGGTGTGAGAACGACGGGAGGTTACAGGAGACATACAGCAGCGGTAGTCAATATGGCCTCTCATGCTAGATGGATAGCTGCAGAACTCCAGGGCAAGGTGTGGGCTGCCAGCTGCCCGCCGCTTCCCATTTTCCCGCTCACTGCAACAGCGCAAGAGGGTTTGCTCCACTAGCATATAAGCTCCACGAGAACAAGGGGGTTTGTGTTTTGCTCACTGCTGAATCCTCAGCACCTAAAAACAGTGCCTGGCATACGGTAGGTACTTGATAAATAATCTTAAGTGAATGAAATAGGTTCATACCAGGCCCCACCCCTTTCCCTCAACCGTGTCCTCACCATTTCCGGAAAGCATATTCTAAGTAGGAAGCTACAAAGCGGGCATGAAACTCTGCAGCATATTTGGTGTCATAAATGCCTGCTGGGAACATCTCACACAGGTCAGCAGTGAAGGTTCCCAAGTTCTCAGGCAAGTGTGCGTAGAAGTTCTGGTACAGGAACACCAGGTCTATAAGGCCATTATGTAGCACCAGGGGCCGACGGGCCCGAATCAGTTCAAGGAACAGGGTCCGTACTGACTGGCTCTGGCTTTCGTCTCCCTAGGTGGAAGGCAAGGGGTCAGTGGGAAGAACAGAATGCCCGCCCAGCCAGGCTCTTGTGCTGCACACCTGGGAAGAACTCCCTCATTTTCCAACCCAATACTACCCTCCCTCGTATGTCTCGTGTGTCCCCAGCCTTGTCACCAGTGACTCTCCATATTTACAAGCAGATGTCCCCCAGGCAGTCAGTCTATGGTAGTGAGGAATAAGTCACAGAGAACACAGACTCAAGGCAACAGAAGATGGACCCCTACCTTGTCATTGCCCTTATGGTAGGGGATACCCTGAGCGTACTGCCGGTTGAAATTGAAGCCGTGCTGTACCAGGAACTGCACAGACTTTGGTTCTATGACATACTCCTCCATGCACAGTAAGGTGAGATTGAACACTTGGGTCAAGTAAGAATTTTCACCCTGAAAAACAAGGAGGAGCTGTTCTGTCAAAAATTAGGAAGAAAACCTCCCAGCCTTCTCCAGCACCTCTGCTCTTCTGCCCCATGCCTCACATCTGGGGTGAGGGAAGCTCATACCTTATCTGGCTGCTGCTTGAAGCAGGCGAGGCCCAGGGACAGAACAGAACGGGTCCTGGCAGCATGACACACGGCCTTGTAACGTTCCTCGATGCACCTTAAGAGTTGGGTTTGGGCATGGCTGTGGCTGAGTTAGTTTCACAAAGGACCCAAACTACTGAGAGCTGGGATGCCCTAACCCTGGACTGAGATCTACACACTTGTTAGGGTGTTAAAGAAAGCTGGGGTTAAAGAAAAGGCTTATGCAGGGCGGTGGTGGCGCACGCCTTTAATCCCAGCACTTGGGAGGCAGAGGCAGGCGGATCTCTGGGAGTTCGAGGTCAGCCTGGTCGACAAGAACTAGTTCCAGGACAGGCTCCAAAGACACAGAGAAACCCTGTCTCGAAAAACCAAAAAATGAACAAGAAAAGGCTTATACTTACTGATTCAGCAAACTCTTCCGGTCCCCAAGCCCACTCAGCTCCTATGGATGGGTAAAGGACTGTGATTATCTCCCACACCCGTCAAACCCTTCACAGCCACCTGTCCTCCCCGTTTCCCAGGCCTCACCGTGTCCACAGCCACAAAGCTCGCCGTCTTTAGGGCCAGCAAGAGCGACGGCCATATCTCCTTGAAGTTGTCGCTCTGCACGTCCACCACAGGAACCCGTACCACAAACTCCTCTGCAGATTTTGTGTTTTTGTTGACATCACCTAGGGATAAGGGCAATGAATTGTCATGTTCCCACAAGGTCCCAGTGGATCAGACACCAAGCTAGATGTTGGAGAGGGGTTGCCCATTGACAAGTTTCTCCCTAGAGATTCTGCAACCTCCAACTCTATACACACGCTTTGGACAGTGCCCTAAATTTGGAAAGAGAGCATCTGGGTCTTGCAGTGGCTTTATGTGGGATTGGGAAGTCATTTCCTTTTTTTGCAACATACTCAGCAGACAAGTGTAGACAACCTTTGAGTATTCTTTCTCCTCCGAGCCTGTAATCTCAGGACAAGGAGCATAAAACTGAAGGGCCTTGAGTTTGAAGCCAGTCTGTGCTATAGAGCAAGACCCTGTCTCAAACACAGAGCCCGTAAGGCTCCATACTCATGGTGCCTCAACAGATACGAGTGCTTCAAAGTTAGACCTAAGCTCCACTTACCGTGGACGACTCCCCACTTCCCTGGTGTTACCGATTGACAACCACCGGCTCGAGCCAAACAGCACCTCCCCACACGCCCTCACTGCTCTACAATCTAACTTCACGGGCTTTAAAGTTGCACGCGCTGCACACTGGGACTTGTAGTCTCCTAGGACAGCGGGCGCTAGCAGAAGCTACAGGCTTGATCCTAGGACTACCGGCCCGAAGCTGATCCCTCCACAGGACCCGGAGGCTTCTGTGGCCACCCCCTGAGAAGTCGCTCACCGTCAGAAGTCGCTGGAACCGAAGGCACACCGTCGTCACTGTCGGCGGCCATGATGCCGCGCGCCCCGCGCCAGCCTTCTGGAGGCACGCCGAGACTTCCGCTTCGTCTCCCGGAGAGACTCCGGCGCAGGATGGGGCGGGTCTCGCCGTCTGGGTCTCGTGGGGTCAACTTCCGTTCAGAGTGGCCGGGCTGAGCGCGGAGCGCGGACCTTGCGCGCGCCGAGTGCCTATTGGCTGAGCGTCCGGACTGGGCGAAGCCACGCCCCTTGGCGGGTTCCCCGGGGCGGCGGGCTGGAGACTGCGCGGGAGGTAATTTATTTTTCCGCACGCTCTGGCTGGAACTTGGAACTTTTAAGTTACTACAAATCTTTTCATCTAACAGCCCAGGGCTGGTGTGGGCGGCGCAGGATTCCCGGGGGTGGAGGAGAGCATGCCTCCTATGCTGAGCTAAACCATGCCTAGGAGCTCGGGAGAGATGGGCGCGCCACACTTTGTAAAGGGTCTGAGCGTGGACGCCACCCCAGAAAGTTGGAGGAAGGGAGAGGCGGGAGGCGTTTTACCTGACGCGGGTAGATAGGTGGTAAAGCGACCAATCTGCAGGAATGCTTTTAAAATAATTCACACAGTGATAATGTGCATTTGGGTTAAGGCTTTGATAGTAGGATATCAAGAAAGAGCCATCTTGTCCGAATTTGACCCCTGTTGGAAACCCAGTGTCTCCGCAGGGCGCGTTCACATCCTCCTCCTACCGGCCTGGATAGTATGCAGCATTACCTCACCTCACTGAAAAAGGAATCTCCTTCGAATCTTCCCCATCCCATTAATTCATTTAACAAGTATGTATTGTGTATGGTAAATATATTTGGCACAGGCTCTAAAAAAAAGAGACCTCATAAGTTGGTGGAGGGTTTTTTTTTTTTTTTTTTTAAACTGGAGTCTGGCGGTGGTGGCGGCGCACCTGTGAAGGCTCGAAAAAACAACAGCAGGAAAGAAAGAAAGAGAGAGAGAGACAGAAAGAAAGAAGGAAGGAAGAAAGGGGTCTCTAGTAGCACAGGCTGGCCTTGAACTCACCTGCCTGCCACCCAAGTGCTGGGATTAAAGGTCTGCGTGCCAGAGTGAGTCATTTTTAGAAAACTGAAACATTTGTGCTCTTTCCTAACTTCACACCCTTCACTTGTGTGACCTTTCCTCGATATGCCAAGGGTTTCTTCTTTGAAATATCTTATGTAATTCATTATGTGTGTTGTTCTCTGTTAGATTATAAGCTCTCCTCTGGAAGAATCCTTCTTTGTTTGCTGAGGTTTGAGGGTCTCTGCAACCACCACGGCCAGCAGAGTTATCATCTTCGGGAGGCAAGAAGGCAGTCAGGTTCAACACAACTAAGTAGCCAGTGTTGGCTTAAACTTCCGGAGTCTCACCCCAAATAGTTTATTTTAGACATATTTAAGCACAGCACAGTTCAGTGAAAGATTTCCTGGTGATAGATGGCTTAACCCTGTGTGCACAATAAAACTTAAGGTGTGACTACATCAAAACCCTTTGTAAAGTACCTGTGAGATCTTCTATAACAATGGGTTCTATAGATTGACAAGCTCACAGTCATGGTCTGGGGGAGGATCAGTTGTCAGGTAGAGCAGAGGTCATCGGCCTTCTAGGTGGGAAATAGGTAATTCATCTCTCACTCTGAAGAGACATCCTTGTGTGTCTACCATTCCTGGTTCCCCTATTGCTCATCTGTGATCACAAGGACCTCTATCTTACCCACACTGAGGTAAATTGTTTGGCACACAGTAGGCAATTCTAAAAACATTTGTTAAGGGATTGATGGGAAGCTATTGAACAGTTCATATATGGAAGTGAAAATAAAACATGATCACTTCTGTTGTCTTTTGTGGTTTCATATAGGCTAGGAGAGATCTCAAAGTATTTAGCTGAAGATGACCTTGACTTTGAACTCCTGAACCTCCTGGCTCCACCTCCTAAACACCAGGATTACAGGTGCAAACATGGGATTACTTTGTGGAAGCAATGGTCACGTCTTGGAAAGATTGCTTTCTTCGGAGAACAGGCCGTAGGAGAAATTGTGAATGTGAGCAAGTTTGGCAAAGGAGGTTGGTGATGAAGGGGAGGAGAATGTCCTGTTCAGAGTATTGGAGTATTGTAGGCGTAGGGGCCTAGGAAAAAGGAGGGGCCATCACAGAGAGGTGGGAAGAAGTGGAAAGAAGGCAGAGCCAATAGTTTGTATATCCCCCCCCCCCAAAAAAAAGCAAAAGCAGGGTCATTTGATGAAAATGAGGTGGTGAATTCCAAGTACTGTTAGGAAGAGATTAAAACAGGTTTGGTGGGATCGCAGCACAACCAAAGATGGGATCAAGTTGCTTACTTGGCCTCTGCTTTCTGAGCTGAAATGGAAGTAATAGTTCCTGCCTCCCGGAGCCATTGGGTTGAGCAAAGCACCGCCTGGGGTTGAGCAGACAGTGGGCTTCCACTCTGGAGTGTTAGATACTTCGTTAAAGCCTCTTTCCTTCCTTTTCTTTATATTTATTTATTTATGGTGTGTTTTGTGTGTGTGTGTGAGCCCATACATGCTATGATAATCAGGCTTGGCAGCAGGGACCTTTATCTGTTCAGCCATTTTGCTGTTTCCTATTAGTAATGTTTTTGCAGTTAGAGAAAAGATAGCCAGGAAAGCAGCCTAGCAACAGCCAGCCAGCTGTATTTACTAATGGCCGGCCAGTTAAGATTTACTAGCCCATGTCTCTTCTCATTGATTTGCCATCTGCTCTCAGGCATATCTTTTTCCCTCTTTAATTCTTGTTTTCTCATTTTTGTGAGGCAGAGGCAGGTGGATCTCTGTGAGTTTGAGGCCAGCCTGCTCTACAGAGGACAGCTAAGGCTACACAGAGAGACCCTATCTTGGAAAAAGAAAAAGAAAATTCTTCATAGACATGCCCAAATTCTCGAGATTTAGTTGATTCCAGACATAGTCAAGTTGACAACCAAGATTAGGCATCACAGAGAACCAGGGTGTGAAGTCAGCCTTGAATACGTAGTGAGACCGTTTCAAAAGACACAGTGACCTGGAGAGATGGCTCAGCATTGGATAGCACTTGCTGTTCTTAGAGCAGAATTCAGTTCCCAGAATGCATATGACAGCTCATAGCTGTAACTACAGTTCCAGAGGATCTGACACCTAGCCTCTTAGGGTAGCACGCGGTACATACATTCATGCCTGCAGACAAAAGACAGAAAAGAAAAGCTGGGCAGTAGTGGTGCACGCCTTTAATCCCAGCACTCAGGAGGCAGAGGCAGATGGATCTTTATGAGTTTGAGGCCAGCCTGGTCTACAGAGCAAGTTCCAGGACAGGCTCCAAAGCTACAGAGAAACCCTGTCTCGAAAAACCAAAAAGAAAAGAAAAGAAAAAGCCAAGCTGGACATTCTGAGTGATTTGGGGAGAGGTGGCTCTAATTCTTTCAGGACTTCAGATTCAGCCTCATTTTGGCTGGCCCCATTGGCTACATCTTTCCCTTCCAGGTCATCATGAAGAAGCTACGAGCATCTGTCAGGAGCCACAGAAAGCAACCAGCCAACCCCAAGAAAAGGGGAAAATGTGCCCTTAGCAGCAGCCAGGCCAAGCCTTCTGCCCCTGATGGTAAGGAGCTCGGCCCTTGCCAAGAGTGTCAAGGGACTGGTTTCACTGGCTGTACAAGAGGACAGATTCGAGCTTGCTGTGTACCGAGGGATTAAGAAGCTAATTCTGACTGTTTCTGTGTAACTTTGGGCCAAGTGCTCTGAGTGTTTTCTTAGCAGTAGAACGGAACAGTTTCATCTGCACATCTCTCCACTGTCGTGCAGCTTTCATGGCATCAGATGAGTTTATAAACCTGAATGGGTTTTGAAAATAGGGAAACACCCTGCACGGGCACCTGTTCTGCCTAACTAAAACTATTGAGTTTTCATTTGTAGCCCAGAGAAAACAAAGGCACTGGCAAAACTAAGACCAGAAATTTGGCCAAGACTACACAGAACTAGAACTCCGATTGTAGCTCTAAAGACTGCGTGAGAGATGTGGGTAGGAGAAGCCCCAAGTGTGAACAGGCTACTACAGGTTGCTATGCCCCGAATCCTTGATGGGCCTGTGCAAAAAAATCCTAAAAGGGGCCAGCAGGATGGCTCAGTGGGAAGAAGCTTTTGTCACACAAGCCTGGTTACCTGAGCTTGATCTTCAGGACCCACGGAAAAGTGGGAGGGGAGAACCGACTCTGAATGCTGCCCTCTGACCTACACATTCACGTCATCCATACACAATAAGAATAAAATGTTTAATATGGAAGAGCCAGAGGTAGCGATCACCCTTGTAATCCCAGCACTTGGGGAGTTAGAACAGGAGGATTAGGAGTTTAAAGCTAGCCTTGGCTACACAGCAAGTTTGAGGCCAGCCTGGACTATGAGATCTTGTTGAGACCCTGCTGCTGCTGGAGAGACATCTTAGCTATCAGGCAGTTTACAGCTGCCCAGAACTCCAGCTCTAGGGAATTGGATACCTTGGATATATGCGCACTTAAAAATAATTCTTAAAAGAAAAAATGAGGGGTCTGGGGGAAGGGTAATCTGGAGTGACTTGGTCGTCCTGCAGGCCAGGCCAAGCAGAAGGATGAGGAGTTCCTGCAGACCTCTGTCTGCCCGTACCATCTGTTCAGAGACATAACCGATGTCACGACGTTCCGAAGGAACTTGCTCAGCTGGTATGACCAAGAGAAGCGGGACCTGCCTTGGAGAAGATGGGTAAGTGAGACAGGGACAGTGCGCTGGGCAGCTGGCTCAGCCCTTTCAATTCTGAGTCTTCACCTGTGGTTTCCTTCACAGGTAGAGGAGGAAGCCAACTTGGACAGGCGGGCCTATGCTGGTCAGTACAAAACTGGGCTGCTGTGCCTGCAAGTCCTTAGTTTAGGGACTATGTTTAGGTTTGGGGACTAGGGGCTAGGAGTCAGGGTGAGTACCTCATGTTAACCCCCTTCCCCAGTATGGGTGTCAGAGGTTATGCTGCAGCAGACCCAGGTTGCCACGGTGATCGACTATTATACACGATGGATGCAGGTGACGCCAGGGAGACGCCAGGGAGGGAGGGGAGAATCGGCTAGACCCCTAGACCCTGGAAAAGGCTTCCTCTCACACTCTCGTCCTTGGCCTTCTTTCCTCAGAAGTGGCCAACGCTTCAGAACCTGGCCAGTGCTTCCCTGGAGGTGAGCCACCCTTGGGTAGGGGGAATGAAAACAACTGAGGGACCAACCACCGATCTTTGACTTCTGACCTCCACCTACAGGAGGTGAACCAGCTCTGGTCTGGCCTGGGCTACTATTCTCGAGGCCGTCGGCTGCAGGAGGGAGCTAGGAAGGTAAATGGGTGGTGTACTGACTAGGAGGCCAGCAGCCTCAGGTGTCTTCACACCGAACCTTCCTACACCAACCAGGTGGTAGAGGAGCTAGGCGGTCATGTGCCACGGACAGCAGAGACCTTGCAGCAGCTCCTGCCTGGTGTGGGGCGCTACACAGCTGGAGCCATTGCTTCTATTGCCTTTGGCCAGGTAAACCTGTATGCCACCCATATTCAGTGTGCACACCCCCCTTCCTCCAAGTCCAGTCTGACTCCCAGGCTCCTCCGTGCCAGGTAACTGGTGTGGTGGACGGGAATGTCTTACGGGTGCTGTGCCGAGTCCGCGCCGTTAGTGCTGATCCCAGCAGCTCCGTTGTCTCTGGTCATCTCTGGTAAGAAGCTGGGGTGATGGAAACTGGGAAGGGTCTGTCCAGAGTGTTTTTGTTTGCAGTAGTGTGCCTTACTTTTAGGAGCCTAGCCCATCAGCTGGTGGATCCAGCCCGGCCTGGGGACTTCAATCAAGCAGCCATGGAGCTGGGGGCCACAGTGTGTACCCCGCAGCATCCTCTCTGCAGCCAGTGCCCTGTGCAGAGCCTATGCCACGCGTACCAGAGGGTAAGCCTCCTAAGGACGAGTTAGGGTGACCTAGTGAATGACCCTTGCCCTGTGACACCCTCCTCTATGTCTCTCAGGTGGAGCGGGAAAAGCTCTCTGCCTTGCCAGGCAGTCCTGACGTAGAGGAGTGTGGTAAGCGCCAGCCCCGACCCCGGCTTGCCTCTCCTGGCCCTGTTAGGGGGCTGCCTTTTCAAGTCTGAGTAAGATTCTGCAGTGAGGTTAAGCCTCCCCCTGGGCTTGACACTAAGGCCACTTGGCCTGAGCAGAGTTTGGAATCTTTGTGTGCAGCTCTCAAGACTAGCCCGTGCCAGCTTTGCCTGCCTCCCACAAAACCCTGGGACCCCTCTCTGGGAGTGGCCAACTTTCCTCGCAAGGCCAGCCGCAGGCCTCCCAGGGAGGAGCACTCTGCCACGTGTGTTGTGGAGCAGCCCAGGACCAACGGGAGTCCCCTCATTCTGCTGGTGCAAAGGCCTCACTCAGGTGCCTGACTGTGGGGGCTGGAGGTCAGTGTCACAAGCAGCCGAGGAATAAAGGGGCAGTAGAAGACGCTGACTGCTTATCTGGCTGCCATCAGGTCTGCTGGCTGGACTCTGGGAGTTTCCATCTGTCACCCTGGAGCCGTCAGACCAGCATCAACACAAAGCCCTTCTGCGGGAACTGCAGAGCTGGTCCGGACCTCTCCCCACCACTCGTCCCCAGCACCTGGGAGAGGTAGGTTAGCAGAGATGCCAGGATTGAGCGCTTCCATCCATGTTAACATTCACAGACCCAGCTCCGTCTCTTCCCTCCCCAGGTGATCCACGTCTTCTCTCACATCAAACTGACATACCAAGTATATAGTCTGTCCCTAGAAGGACAGACCCCAGCGACCCCTGCACCTCCTGGTGCTCGATGGTTGACTTGGGAGGAATTCCACAATGCAGCTGTCTCCACTGCCATGAAAAAGGTACTTTTGTGTCTTGTTTGTCTCTTACATGAACTTATTGCTGTATAAATGAAAAAAGAAATGTATATTTTAAATAAAATTGCTGGAGCTGTCCATAGGCCTGGGTGGAACTCAGGCTATTGGTTCTTTTGGAGAAGGTGCCAGTCCTGTTTTGTTCCCCCCCCCCCCACCTCCTTCTTGGCTAGGTATTCCGCATGTATGAAGACCATCGGCGAGGCACCTGCAAGGTGAGTCTTAGGCTCATCCTCTCGTCTTCCCCAGGCCTGCCTCTGGGGCTCTTAGAATTCATGTATTGACGTCCATTGTGAACTAGGGACTGATGGTACAGTGAGACCACAGGGTAGGAGGACAAGAACAAACTGGTGTGGGCTCTGGTGTCACGGGGATGTATATATAGTATTTGTTCTGGGTTCCGTGGGATCTGAGGTAGGGAGCCATCTGTGAGACAAGGATCACAAAAAGCTGCTTGCTGAAAATAACTGCTAATTTGGATCCTAGAAAAAGATTTGTTTTTATTATTTTTAACTATGTGTATGTATCTATGTGTAGGTATATGTACACTGAGTGTAGTACCCATAGAGGCCAGAAGAGGGCATTGGATCCCCTGAATTTGATGTTATAGGTGCTTGTGAACCATGTAACATATATACTGGGTCCCTGACTCAGGTCCTCTGCAAGGGCAGTACACACTCTTAACCACTGAGCGATGCCTCCACCCCTCGCCCCCAGACAGTTTCATTTAGTGTAGGTTGGCTTCACGATGCTGTGCAGCTGAAGATGTCCTTGAACTTCTGATCCTCCTTCACGAAGGGATTATAGGCATGCACCTATCCAGCACTAGGATGCAAACCTAGGGATTTGTGCTTGTTAGACAATCCCTCTATCAACTGAGCCATGTCCCCAGCCCCCGCTTTGTATCTATCAAGATTTTTTGGGGCACCTTTTGCGGAGGTGGAAAATCCTATAGCATTATAGGCTAGATTAGTAGGGCAGGCAGAAGATTCCCAGACGTGTACTTATTACTTCCCACCTTGGATTTTCTACAGGGTTCTAAAAGGTCCCGCGTGTCTACTCCATCAAGCCGGAAAAAACCCAGCCAGGGGCAGCAAATCCTGGATAGTTTCTTTCAGCCTCATATTCCCACAGACACACCCAACAGTACAGCCCAGTGATACCTCTGGGAGGCCCACCCCAAATCCAGCCTAATAAAATGCTTATTTCTGTAGTCCTTTTGGAGAACGTTCTACACTTTCTCTAGTCCCTTCACTTACTTTTGCGAGGCTCTGAAAATGGTCAAGTCAGCTTGGTTCTGACTTCCTCTGGATGCATTCTGACCTGAGTATTCTTCCCTGGCAGAGTCAGGGCAGCTGCAGGGAGCACCTGTCCGTGGCTGACATCTAATGCTCCCATTCTGGGTCTCAGGTAAGCTCTGATTGGAGCGTCATCTTAGAGCAGGTGGTTGGGCTAATCCTGACCTAGTCTGCACCTGCAGCTGTTGCTCCCTGGGGAGGTCGGCACAGAGGAGGGCTTGTATTAAATTCTTCTTCAAAATCATTTATTCAGGGTCCATTTCACAAGTAATGAAACTTCAGAAAGCACATGGGTTAATAATCCCAAGACCTTCAGGGGATGGGGAAGAAATGCAGAGACGACACAAAGGCAGTTCAGAGTCTTGTGTCTCGACCTCAGTCCTTTATTATTACCTAGGGTGTCAGACATTTTAAGTCCCATCTCTTTGGAGTCCAGTGAGAGACTCTAGATTTGGCGGGTACTGGTTGGAATGAAGACCAGCACCTGGCCCTGAAGGGAAGGATGGGCTTTATCTGGGGTGTGGTCCTGTGAGGCACGTCGGCTCCAGCAAGCACGTGCAGGACTCCTTCCTCAGAGCACCTAGGACAGGTGGCGACTCCCAGATCTAGCGGGCGTTAGGCTCCCTGGGCCCTCGCAGCTTCCTCTTGCACCGACTGCCATAGTGCCCGGATGTTGTTCTGGCCAAAGCCTGTGGCCCCCTGCCTCTGAATCAGCTCCAGAAAGAAGGTGTCCTCAGTGAAGAGGGACTTGGTAAAGACCTGAAGCAAAAATGTGTCTTTAGCGCCGTCTAGCAGAATTCCCTGCCGTCCTAGAAGGCTAGGCTTGTGCCCTGCCGCTATGATTTGTTCCCTTTTGCCGGGCTGCTGATAGTAAGCTTCAGGAGGGGTTAGGAACCGGCCTCCTGCCTTCGCCATCCCCTGAGAAGCTTCCATGATGTTGGGAGTGTACAGTCCTACGTGCTGCAGGCCTGGCCCCCCGTGCCGGGCTAGAAATTGCTCTACCTGGTCCTGTCTGTTGGGGAGTCCCGGTAGGGACTCTGCCAGCACGAGGGTGGGAACCGTGCTGCCAGGCGGGATCTGCAGGGCAGTAAGCCTTAGTCCCCCTCGCCCAGACCCTGCAGCCACCTTGAGGCCCTGCTCCGGATCCTCACCTGGGCTCAGCGGCAAGTGACGAAACCCTAGGCAGTCGTGGAACCACCGCCCAAGAGTAGGGGAGCTGCCAGAGGTGCAGGCCAAGGTCAAGTGGTCCACGTGGCTGACCCAGCCAGGGCCAGACGTGCAAGGCAGCGGTCTGAATCCAGGCAGGAAGGATCCGCGATAGCCAGTGCGTTGCAGCAACGTAAAGCTAAGGTTACCAGCCGGAGAGCAGACCACTGTATAGATGGCTGTGCCCTGTGCATCCCTCACGCTAGTGGGTGGTACCGGCACCGCGCAGCCCCGTGCCGCCAGCGTCCGGGCGGCGGCGCCCACATCTTCCACGTCGAAGCACAAGTTCGTGGCGCTGGGCACCGAGTGGTGCGGATCCAGGCCGTACAGTGGCTCCCCCGGCCCCGAGCCCTCGTTTACTAGAAAGACTGCGTCTCCGCTGCGCAGGGCCAGCTGTCTCCAGCCTCCTGCTTCCCGCACCGCCAGGGGCTGGAAGCCGAAGAGGCGGTGTAGATCCTTCGCTAGGGGCTGTCCAGCTGGCACATGGAAAGCGACATGGCACAGACGGCGGGCGTGCGCAGCCATGGCGAGTCCAATACCCCGGCTCTGTCCTTCTGGGGCGGCTCACTTGTTTCGAACTCCAAAACTCTTGGTCCTAGTTGTTGGAAGCCGGTGGAGCCCAGGTCTGCCGGAAGAGCGCGTTCCTAGGTCTTTTCTGGGCAGAGGTCACAGTCAGACCTTGGGGGATTGATCTCTCTGCAGCGCAACCTCAATCAGAAGCCGGCTAAGAACCTCAGGTTCTGGGGGTAAAATGTATGAGAACCACGCGGACGCTGAGCGGGGCGGGAGATCGGGCTGGAGACTCCGCCTTTGACACGCCCTCTCGCCCAGAACGGGTCTCCTCGGGTACAGCCGGGCCGAAGGGCAGTTCCATCCCAGGGCTTTGGACCAGGTCACACCCTTGGCACTGAGCCACCCCTTCCCGGGCTCGGGAAGTCACAATAGCCACCTTCACTCGGTGCCAAGCGCAGTCTTCACGACCTCAGAAGTTCTGTTCGGGTGGGGGAGGAGCCCGAATCCTCCCTCCACAAGCACGGGATTTCTTAGTCTGGTGCTTTTTCTTTACTCAGGAGTCTGTCTTCAAGTCCTGGTGCTCCATTCATGTCTTATTTTCTTAAAATTAAACTATTTAAAGATATATATTTTTCAATCTCCAAAACGGAGCGGAGAAATAGATAAAAGAGAAAACATTTACATATCTTTCCAACCATCCAGGCGATCTCTACTGCCTCTTCAAGTCTATTTCTGCAACTAATCGAGACTTGGAGATAGGAAAAAGGAAATCCTTTTTGTTTGTTAGATTGTTGTTCCTGTGAGGAACTACTGCTCACCACCTTAACAGAACTCCAGCCACAACTCAGGCCTTCCTAAGGATCTGAGCCAGGGCCCCCAAGATGAGTGAAGTCACTAGGATGAAGAAGCCTGTGGGATTTCAGCCAGAAGGGCCTTGAGTTAAGGTTAGAGAAGGACACGAAAGGGCCGAATGCAAGAAGAAAACCTTAGAGAAGACGCCCCCGTTGGCCTGGCCAGAAACCCCTTTGTCGGGCAGTAGAAGGCTTCTGAGGGGACCTGACTTGGACAAGCAGGCGTGGCTGGGTTTTCAGGGTTGCAAGTAGGAGGGCAGGGCAGGACCTCTTTTGCTGACAATGATCAGGAGAACATGGATTCCAGAGTTAAGGAGACCTGGCTTAGAAATCTAGCTCTAATAGTCATGACTTTGGTCATGTTGCTTACTTTACCTCTTCCTTATCTGCAAAAATGGGATTCCCCTGTCCTGGTGCTGAGGATCAATACTCATGGTCTCACACACACTAGGTAAGAACGCTCACTCAGATGGCTGTGGTTAAAGGAGACAGTGTGCGTGTTCAATCAATAGTAGCTGAGGCTGTAGCTTTGTTTTATTCTCATGACACAGTGTCAAGTGGTACCTCCCAGAGGGTATTGTGTGACCTCTTTGGGGAGGTGGGGGTGGGCAGAGACTGTACTAGCTTGGGTCAAAGGTTAGGCAGCCAAGTCAAGGAGCTCTGATAATGACCCAGAACAAGCTGTGACTCCCTTCGGGGAGTCTTGTAGCATTAATTCATGATGACTCCCCCCAACACCCCCATACTAGGGATTGAACTCAGGGCCTTGTAAATGCTAGGCAAATATTCTTATCATTGAGCTACATTCTAGCCCCCTGTCCTTTCTTCTCTCATATCCCCTTGGACCTCAGCTTCATTCCCTAAGATTTCTAAGCTTGAAGCACTGTGGAAAGTGTAAGGACTGCCTTTGGAAAAAGTGTGTAGTTACGGCTAAGTGTGCCCTTACTTAAGGCCCAGTCTTCCCACCTTAGATCTGTTTTCCCACAATCCTTCACACTGAGCAGGATGCCAGTTACCTGACTCGTGCAGCCTAAACCACAGCAGTAGATGGAAGACTAGCCGGTGGGACACTGGAGGCCTCACCTGCTCCCCCACCAGAAAGGAAATGTCCCTATTACTAGATCCTAGATTGGGCTGGCTTTCTCAGGCCTGTACAGCTAAGGAACTGTAACCTAGCAAGAGGCCTGGGCTTTAACCCCTGAACCTGGGTCTGACTGTGTAGGGCCTGGACTGAGGTGGCTTTGTCCTGGCTAGTAGTGGATTTAGTTCAGACTGCACAACCAAGACAAGAGGGTCACAAAAAGACTGTAGCCTCCAAGGCAACACAGATTAGGACCACTCCTAGAGCACTCAGGAAAGCCCTGGTTTCGGTGGAATGTGAGGGAGGGGACCTGGAAATACGGCTCTCTGAATGCTAGAGCAAAAACAGGCTGCCCTGAGTGTTTAAAGTCAGGGCTTCACAATCCATACCCTCCAAGTCTTTGACCCAGTCCCAGAAGTTTGCTTTCAAGGGTACACTGCGAGTACGCAATTCAGCAAAATCACTTAGTTTCCATAAGCCTTGTCGTTCCCCTCCTTTTCAGGAAAAAGCATCGACACTGTAATGGACTGGGTTTTCAGAGGGGTGAAGGTAGAGGTGGCTGCAGTGTTGGTCCCCTGTGATGTCCGTGTCCAGAACATCAACCACTCAGGGTTCCGGAGCTTGCTTCTCAGCTTGACGACTACCCTCCTGCGTGGCTGCCTGTGCTGGGGGTGCTGGGGTCGGCAAGAAGCGAAACGGAGGTCTCCACTGGAAAGGGAGCCCGCAGGCAAGAGAGCAAGATCACTGCACAGGGAAGCTTCCTGCCACTCCTGCCTTGAGTGTTGGCAGGTGAGGTAGGGGTGATTTGGGGCTGTGGAAAGTTGAGGAGCCCAAGTCATAGAACAGCGCCCCTCCGGCAGGTGTCGACTCCAAACAGCGCTAGTTCACTCGGCGGGCTAGGAAATCCTAGCTCTCCTGGCTCGTCTTACCCGGTTCCTGGTTCCGGACGGACCAACCGCCTCGATCGGCCTCTCACCCCTCCCCGGACCCGCCCTGCTTTGCTCCCTGGGCCACCCAGCAGCTAACACTTCTTCAAGGATCCGCCACATTCAAGTCTTTCCTGGTCCTGCTCTGTGCTCTTTTACCATTCCCTTCCGCCGGAAGCTGCTCCGAAAGCTCTCTCATGTTTGGATCCGCCTCCGTTTCTCCTCGCTTGACTGCTTTGGGTTGGCTCAGAAAAACCTCACAGAGAAGGTGACCTTAAATTTTTTCGAGTTGTAGGATATACATATTTACTAACAAATTAAAACAACAACAATAACAAAAC